CTCTCCTTTGCTCTTCCGAGGGAGAAGAGCCGGTTATTCGGGGGAAGGAATGACTTAACTATGTTGGGCGTCGTAATTTCACTCGAGGCAGCGGGAGCTTCCGCACCCCGGAATCTCGCAGGACCCTCTCGCGCAAACGGAATCGGAAGTTATCGCGATAATGCGTTGCATCGGAATCGTAAACCCGAGGGCGGGCTTGAGCTGCGCCCGTAAAATTTTTATCGGTTCGCGCGCAGCGAGCCGGGCTGTATACTTGTTCTTTTCACGGCGTTCCGATAAATGTTATCAAACGTACAGGACGCGAGAGCACGAGCTTGTTCCTTATACACGGCACGTATTGGTTAAATATCGATTCTACAGTTCTGGGCTTTCTATTTAAAAACTGGACCATGTACAATATTTAGCTGTCCGGCTAGGAAGTCGCATCCCCACGTATGCAATTCGGGATGACCGAATAAAACTCGGGACCCAGTTCCGAAACGAGCGGGACGATTTGGATCGGGTTTCGAGCTAATCGCTCCGATTGAGACAAGTTCGCGACGTCGTGAACGATTTCGTTAGTCTTGCCGGAGGCTAAGCGAGAGGCAGACGCGCTTGCGGTGTCGTGGCCGTCGTTTAAGCCGTGGCTTAACTCGGCTTAAGGCATTACTCTCTCCTTCTCTCTCTCTCTCTCTCCCTCTCCCTCCCCAGCTCCCTTTGCTCTCGGGCTTTCCTCTCCGTACTTCCGCCTCGTTCCGCCCTGCTGCGCGGCTTTTAATCGAGCGCCAGCGGATTATCTCGACATCGAATCTACGGTCAACCTGCAAACCACCGGCAAACTCTGGACCTTTGTGCGTCATTCTATCCGCGCGACTCAGATGCCCCGTTTCACGAACTCGCAATCTGAGCGGGGCGAGAGCGCGTCCGCTTCCTCGCTTTGACGCGAGGTCAATCGACGCGACGATAGATAGATATAAATTCGCGCGCGAACGTTGATATCTCGATTCGCGATAAAAACCGCAGAATTAGCGGGAGGGGAAAGAGCTCGCTGCCACAGCAACGTCACGCTTACATCATTCTTGTAATTACGCCAGCTTGATCTTGCGATACGGCGAGATAAATGATTGTACATCTGCTTGATAATATTAATCATGTGCGCTGTAATTGGCGTGCATTATAATCGATTGTAATATCATTTAAATTAATTAATATCGTGCATGTAATACGCGCGCTCGCGAATACGGGCGAGAGTGCACCCGCTGATTATCGGGAATCGGGCGCGCTGGATCAGCCATAAATGATATTCCCGCGGGGGGGGGGGGGGGGCGGCGGCGGGAACGCGGATATCGTTGATGATCGATCATTTCCCGCGCCGGCAGTCCGCGATATTTACGGAGACTGCTTACCGGCGCTTACCGCGCGCCACATAATTCCGGCCGCCTCTCGCCTCGGAAAGAACAAGAGGGAGAAAGAAATGGGCGCCATTTGTCGCGGATCTTATCGGACGGCGGGGCGGACTCTTCGTTTTAAAGCGACTCGAGCGTAAACGCCGCGGCCTCCGGATCCGCTCCCCGGGTCGAACCCCCGAAACGCGCGTCGGGACCCGCTGCTTTAGCACCGGATATTTATTGCCCCACGGTGTAGCCTTATCGAGTGGCCTCGCCATGCCTGAAATCGTGAGAATTCCAGCCAAACCGTCCCTCCACCGCCCGCATATACGCAGGCACACGTACACACGCGCGCACACACACACAAAACTGTTCTCCTCTTCCCCTTGCACGTGTGTGGCACACGAGCGGGATTACGTACGAGTGTGCGCGCGCCCAGTAACGGGACAGAATGTAATGGAGAACGGGACGGAATGGAACGAGGGGACGGGCCGGGACAGGAGGTGGACGAGGGGGGGGGGGAAGGGAGGGGTCTTTGACTGGCGCGCGAAGGGGACCAGACCAGCAGCAGCCCCTCAGGTTGCTCGGCAAGGGTGCGCGATATTGATTCCCACCTAGCGTTTACACCGCGCGCGGAAGCTCGGCGTTACATTCGCGGGCTCCCAGTCAATGGGCATGATTCCGGCGCCCCGAGGAAGTCCCGGCTACCTTCCCCGAGTCGCTCGCGATAGTGTCATCCCGCGGGGGCGATGATTAATTTGACTTGTTTTCGGTACGCGGCCGTGTTATATTACGGAGCACGTGTTCGCCGTGAAGCCCTAAAACGCGCGCGATATTGTCCCGATTCTATATAAAGGGACTATAAATTATCACGTATACAGGATACGACAACGAATTACACATAAATGCCCGCTGTGTGCCGATGCGGAAAAGTCCAAACTTTGAGGAAACTTGAATTACGCGAGAAACGCTCGATGTCGCGACATCACGACACGCGTAGACGCGTCAACAATTAAAGAGTGAACTGCGCTAAGTTTTTCGCGTGTCCTAAAGGCCTGGCGTCCACGATGCTGGAACTTGGTCCAAGCTCTAGTTTCGAGAAATGTGTTGCCAATCAACTTGCAGCCTTTATGGAACAGCTGCAAGTTGACTGGCTACACGTTTCTCGGAACTGGGACTTGGGGGGCCGAGTTCCAACGTCGCGGACGCAGGCTTCAACTGAAACTCGAATGATTCTTTAATTTTGTACCGGCCGACGATTTACGATAACGGTTGCTCGCGCGAGGCTACGATTGTGCGTCGCCTCGAGTGTCGCACGGTTAAGCGATACTCTGAGTGGAACCCGATCTCGCATCGATATTCGCGATTATTCGTGCCTGCGCTGTCTCGCCCGTCGCCGGGGTTATTTCGAGCGCGGCGGTGGAAGTTACGGTGGTGTTGGCGCGTGTCCCGGTACGTACGGCTTCCCGCGTTATATACGTTTACAGCTTTCCGATATCTAACTTCTACGCCCCTTTTTCCACATCTCAATGAGCCACGACGCGAACGAGCTACACCGACACGTGCACATAGACGGACACGCACACACCATCTGCCGCTTCTCTCTCCCTATCGACCAGCCTCGGATCGATAGCGATCTATATTACAAGCGGCTGACTCCTCGAGTGGAAGACGACGGGGAGTCTTCGACGTTTCACCGATCGCTGAAGAGGCTATTTGCCTCGCGGTGACGGTGATGGTAATAACGGCGCGCAACCCTCCGCGGCTCTATTATGATAACCGAAACTCCGGTTGGAACTTACTATCTACTAAACGTGATACAGTCCACCCTCTCTCGAAAGTTGTCCCCTCCTCTCCCCGCCGCCAGATAAAAAGCGATTATCGGTTACGGTAGAAGCGAGAATTCGCTAAACGTCAAGACTTTTCCCTATGCTTGATAATAGAGAGCGTCCGCGATACGTTACGAATTTATTATGCATCGTCGATGGCCAGGTATGTTCGAGCTTGTTCTCTAAATTTTTTGGAGTGGGATCTCACTCTTCTGGAATATGCAGTACTTGTAGAAACAAATCAAGAAAGCCTGAGTAGTGCTTCAAGGACCATCTGTGTCCGGGTTATTAAGCATTGTTTTATCGTTATAGATAAAATAAGAAACAAATGTAATCTGTTCTCTAAGGTTCTTGGAGTGAAAAAACTGCCATGCATTGAAATATTCGCCCTATTGGAATTAATATTTACTCCAACGGAATGAGAGTGAAAATTCCACTTCATGGCAGTATTTTCACTCTAAAAATTTTAGAGAGAACTGCAGATGTTCGATGTAACCGGCGCACATTATCACTCATCACCCTAATGTAGCTTAACATACTCATAAGGCCTGTGCCCATGATGCTAGAACTTGGTCCATGTTCTAGTTTTGAGAAATGTGTAGCCAATCAACTTGCAGCTTTTATGGAATAGCTAGACTAGAACTTGGACCAAGTTCTAGCATCGTGGACACAGGCCTTTACACATCCAGATACATTATCATTCCTCCCTCCACCTAGACCTTCGCTCTAAACGCATCAATGCACCTCGAATTACTTATGAGACTGGATACTACAAAATGCGTCATGTCCAGGAAAATTTACAAAAATGGTTTGCAACTCGGAAATAAATGGTGTTTGGAGCACTTATTTATTAAGATTTTTTGATTTGTTTACTAGTACGACACACTTCTGAAATGTGATACCTATTTTGAACATTGTATGCGGAAGATAGCTTTTGACTTCGTCGAAGAGACGCCCGATTATGTTACCTACTCTGTCAATCTCTGATTTCGTCGGAGACGCATCGTCGTTCGACAGGCCACCTTTGCCGCCTCGCCCTCGGCAAGATCTTATCTCTCACGAGACTAACAATGCGAGATCGAAGTTGTTCGATCGAGAGTGAAGACGAAGGAAACGGGTGGAGAGTACGACTGTAACAGACAAATACAAAACAATGAAGATTAATGCTTTGGCCTCGTTTTCCTCTCCTGCCGGCCATTCTCCCGCTCGGCGGTATCGCGTGAACATTTCGGTATTCCCCGAGGAGAGGCGTATCCCTTCGGACTCGACTTTGGCGAACTCCGCGATCTTATAACCCTGACCCTAAATCCACCGTGGTTAATGAATCCTCTCAATGATTCAATGTGAATGATGACTTTCTCTCTTTAATCCCCAATTTTTACACCATCTCTGAATAAAATAAATGCGATACTAGTGATGTTATAAGTCTAGTCAACTCTAATTGTATGACTCATGAATAACTCTCATAGATTATTAATTCTACGTAGGAGATGACTCTGTTTCTCACTATGTCTCCATCAGTTTTGGCATTGATTTCCTATTGCGAAACTGGAATGAAGTATTTAATTTTTTGTCTTATTCACTTGATCAAAACTCAACGTGAATAATTAGTACGATAGGATGTTTTGTACGAGTACAAGATTTGTCTTTAAAAGCCTTCTCTTGATCAGATAGTCGTGACAAAATTATATACATTCTTGTTTAGCTTCTAGCGCGTACGTGAGTACACAGATATTTAGGGTCGCGTCGCACATAACAACTAACTCGGCAGAGTCTTTAATCGATAACTCCTTTGTGGTTGCAGATTAGCAGTTGGTGTGACATGGATGTGAGCTTCACGAACGTGTTAGAGGGGGCTCGCCAGTACTTCCAGGGACTGCCCGTACCGAGTACAGGTGGCGGCGCGGCCACGTCGGTGGATCACAATCTCCACTCGACATCCTCTACGAATCCCGCCTCGTCCACATCGGCGATGCACGATCATGATGCGCCGTCGCAGCCGACTCAATCAACTCAGTCAATCTCAACTTCCGCCAATAGCAGCAGCAACAGCAGCAACAACAACAATAGCAGTAGTAATGTCCAGGAGTCGAATCGTTACTCCGCCGACATCAGACCTTCGTCGTCCGTGGAGAGTAGCAATGCGACTGTCGGATCGAATTTTTGGAACCCGCTCGTCGATCCGTATGCGCCGCAGCCGACCAGGGTCGAAGTCCCGGACACCAGGCCAGGCGACGAAGGCTCCGCCATGGAACCCAGCTCCTCTTCCTCAGGCATTGTCACCTTAACCGAGATGCAGCCCTCAAATTATCAGTCGTCCTCCTCCGTTGCCGCGTCATCGTCGAATTTCTCGCAGAGACCGCTACCGACGTCATCGTCGTCATCATCGTCGTTGACCACGTCCTCCAGCGATCACAGTCATCAATCTCACCTCTCGGCGTCGAGCTCGTCGTCGCATTTGCATCAGATGCAACCCCAGCCGCCACGTTCCCCCGGACCGGTGTATCAACAACTTAGTAATGTCAGCAGGACGTCCTTCGGTACGGCAGAGATGCTCGCCTCTTCTTCGTCGCACGTCGCCTCAACCTATCAGCCTGCCAGTAACGACAGGCAGTCGCAGCCGATCGTCGCGCAAAGAACTCAGTACTATCCACGTTACCATCATCCAGACATCACGAAATGCGCACCGGCCCCGTACTCGCAGAGTTCCATTTATCAGTCCGCTAATGTGGCGCAGCCCTCGAGCATGGTCCAGCAACCGAGCACGAGACCGACGCCAATAGAGCAGAATAATACTACGACATTGTCCAACGTCGTCACTCAAGGACACTGTCCGTCGGAGCAGCAACGAATATCTGGTACTTACGGTAGCGTACCACTCGCGCAGAATTCTCTCGGCGGATCCACTGTGTACGGATCCGGCGCCACCTCTTCATCCCCTCAAAGTTACCGTTCCACGAATCACTATCAGCAGCAGGTCCAGCGTCTGGCCATTTCCGCTTCGAGTGTGAGCGACAAGTCGCACAGCTCGGACGGATTGCACTCTTCCACCGCCGCTTGCTCTTCATCGTCGCAGGCGGTCAGTCCGCGTCAGCCCGGACCAGGAAGCTCCTCCTCCAATCACATTCCTTCGCAGCCGCAGTCGCAGAATCTTCCGGGTCACATTCCTTCACCGCATCTGCCGTCCGCCGCCACCTCGGTGCACTATCATCAGCACCAGCAGCAGCAACACCAGCAACACCAGCAATCGTCGCCTCTGCAGCAGCAGCAGCAGCAACAGCAGCATCCTAGTCGTATAAATGCGTCGCCACACTCGCACGGTCCCTCGTATGGAGGACGCGTAGTGTCGCTGCCATCGCACGGCGTCCCATCGTCGTCCTCCTCCGTCGCTATGACTGCAAACCACTCGCAGCAACAGCAGATGCCACCGCCTCCGAGTGGATATCATGTAGGAACGACGCCGTCGCCGCATCACGAGCCGTCGCCGCGTCACGCGACTCCGTCGCCACATCACGCGACTCCGTCGCCACAGCGGCAGTCGCCCCACGTGTCTAGCCTGCACAATCCGCACGCCTCCCCGTCTCCTCATCATACACCCTCGCCGCACAACAGTTTCCAGCCGCACTCGCCGACCTATCCGCCACCGCCGCCTCCGCCGCTACCATCGCAGCAACAGCAGCAGCAGCAGCAGCAGCAGCAGCAACAACAACAGCAACAGCAGTCATCGGCTTCATCGAGGTCGACACTACATTCGTACACCTCGCAGCACTATCAAACGAATTACGTGGCGGCGGTTCGTGACGCGGCGATGGGGTTGCCTTACGCACCGCCGCCACCGTCCCAGTCTTCGTACCATTCCTTCCAGAAGAGCCCACAACCGGAGTCTCAGGGAAGTAGTTACTACTCCCAGCCGAGTCGGTCTCACGGTCAGCCATACGGTATGCAGCAGATGCTGGTGCCGCCGCAGACGGTGTACCCCAGTACCTCCGGCAGCAACAGTAGCTACCAGCAAAACGCCAACAAACATGCAACGTATAACGGCGTGGATACCACGAAGAGAGGCACGATTGACGTCACGGCAACACCTTATGGTACGCATCGGTCGTCCACGCAGAGGAGCAGCAACACGCATAACTTGCCGCCTATTGCCTCCCTCTCGTCCTATCATTCCAACAGGCGAGAACCGTTGGGGAAACCGGCGCAGACGATAGCGCGACAACGAATGCATCCGACGAACGCAACGAGCAAAGTCCCGTCTGTCGTGATGCCGCCGACACCCTCGTCTATGCCGATCCTTCCTCAGAGGCGCGCCGAGTTCCTGGTAACTCCGGCCTCGACTATGAACCACTCGATACCAGTGAACGGTAGGACGACTACTGTGACAAATATAACGTATGTCACGCGGCATAGCAGTCAGCAAGGCTACCCATCGTCATCATATGCCACTACGATGGCGCCTAGTCATCATGGTAACAACTCCACTAGTAGCACCACAGTGACCACTGTCAATCATGGTGGTTCAAGCGGTGCGAGGTCTTCCGCTCCAACGATTCACGTGTATCAGTCTTCCGACGAGCCGGATCGGTCAGCGGGGTCGTCGTCCTATCATCCTCACCATCAACCATCGACACGAATGACGACCGAGAGCTACGCTTACAAAGAATATCCTTCTTACCAGAATTCGGCGTCGTCCGGCGGCAGTCAAGCGACCTCAGCCGCCGCCGTAACGAGTTCCCCATCGCCGAGCAATGCAGTCCGAAAGAGGGAATCCCCTCTGGATTTGTCCGTGAAAACGGTTAAGACGTCGGCGGATTCCACGGCGCAGGACGACCTCGAGACCACCAGCACCGACAAGCACGTCAGTAGCTCGAGCCTGAGTACGTCCAGAAATAATGTGAACAGGCCGATGCCACCTCCGGCTGTCATGCATCAAGCGGCACCGGCGCAACCGTCGTATCCGTCGGCGTACGACCACAGGCCTTCGAGTAACAGTTCGAGGAATTCCATGCCCGTCACCTGCATCCGAGCGTCGACGCCTCAAACGGTGTGCGCGCCCAAGGTCGACTTTCTACCGGACTTCACCTCGGCGCCGCTACGTCATCAGTCGCATCATGAGAATCCCCTTCGCAGAAGCACCACGCAGCAGCTTTACGTACCATCCGCCCAGCCGCTCTCGTCCCATCACACGAACACCTCTCCACTGCCTCATATGTCCACGTTCAAGAAGCGTCCACTGCCCACGTCGCCACTGTACGACGGCCTGACGATACCACCGCCACCACCTTCGTCGTCGTCATCGTCGACGTCTGCGTCTTCATCGTACATCCAGACGAATGATTCTGCGTCCTCGAGGTTCTCCAAGTATCACTCGATGATGGATCCATCTCCGCGATTCGGCCCGCCCACACTGCCCGCGCAAGATTATCCACCCGACTCGAGCAAGTACTATTTAGCGGACAGCAGAGTCAAGTTCGACCAGCAATTCCCTCAGCGCGAACGGATGCCGTTTAAAAGGGCAGGAGAGCCGATTTACGGCGTGGGGAACCCCATGAAACAGCCCAGACTCGTTTGGCGAGTACCGAGTACCGAAAAGCAGGTTAGCGAGCCGAAACTGCCGGCCGCGGGTGCGCTGAACGAACAGCAGAAGCGGCAAGACATGAACTTGTTGGTTCCTGTGCCGAACGGAGCTCTGGCGACAGCCGGCGCCCACGATCAGAGAACCGACAGCGCCGGTTACTTGGCGCCGGAATCGACCAGGTATCAGTCGGCATACTGTGATAAAAGGTCCTACCCGGAGTCCAAAGTCATACGCAGCTCATCGTCGTCGTACAATCACCCGGTGGTCTTGAAATCCGCGAGTACACACTCGTTACCGCAACAGCTGTCCTATCCGAATTATCGCCAGCCAGTTCAAAAGACAACGTGTTCCCCGAGCGGGATGTCCGGCGGCCAACCGATGGATCAACCTAACAACACTGGTGCCGACAAGAGGGTGCTCAACTTGCTGAGAAGCAGCCTGGAGAACAAGCAACAGAGGGACGAACAGCTTAACAGCCAGCAGCCTATCTTCAATCACAGCCAGCAGAGTTTTCAGAATAAGGCGAGAAATTATAAATTTTACAGAGACTTAAGGAGAAATTCAAATTCCGATTCAAGAATCTCAGCTTTAGATATTTTTGTCCACTTTTTCGTTGCCGATAATTTATCACCAACTTTTGCGCATAAAGTCAAAGTCCCCCATAGATCGAGCATGAACTGTAGCTGAAAATGAAAATCCGCGGCGGTTTAGTCCACTTAGTCGTTTCTATCGATCTTCAGACGTTCTCGACGTCTAGGTCTGACGTTTCTGATGATTTCCGTGAAATTCCCTCAGGTCGTCGCGCCAGTCGAGCCTAAGAGCATCGGCAGGCACAATCTGTCACCGTTCACCGCGGCGGGCTTGCTCGAGCGTAACAGCAACACGCCGCCGCATTACAAGCTCCACGTTCCGCGAGCGGTAGACTCGATCACTCAGGAGGTGCCACGCAGCATGTACGCCTCGAGCGGGAATGCATCCGCCACGCTACCCGGCAAGGAAGACCTCGCGGGACCACGTGGCACCGAGAATCAAATACATCGTGACAAGGACGACGGCATCGCCGCTATCATAGCTGCGAAGATCCGGACGAAGGCGGAACTGAAACAAGTACGTGATTGTCTCTACCTAACTCTAATTTGGCGGAATTGCGCTGATCACGCCGATCTCACGATTTGTGCTTTTCGTTTAGGTCGGGACCGGCCAATTTACAACGAAAGCCTCTTCCGTACCTCTTCAGGACGTGTCGTCGACGCCGAGAGGTAATTTAGCTTTTGCATAAAAGATGCTAATAATCAGTGGTCGTTAATAGATGTTATTTATGATAATTTTATATTAATTGGATCTGTTCGTTTCAACTCGATCATGGTTTGTGCAATAATTGTGCTATTTATTCAATTGCGTCGATTGTGCTGCGAGATATTATTTTTGAGATTTGTATGTAATTCTTTTTACGTTATGTACACAGAGATCGACAGTGCGGCCTCGACATCAACGCCGCAGTCTGGCTCGTCTGCGGGCAGCCCGCCGAAATTAACACGAGAGAAGATGGTCTGTCTACCGCCTAGAAGACGCTTGTTTTCCAGAACTGACGAGGACAGCATACCGGTAGCGGCGACCGTGCCCGTGGCCGCTGTGGTCGCGTCCACGGTACCAGCCAGGGCAAGTGGGTGCAGGAGCTCCTCCGAAACGTCGGTCTTCGATTTTCGGGAAAGTGACTCTGAAGGCGAGATGCCAGTTCTCGAGCGGCAAACTTTGGAAGAAATGAGAAGAGACAGGAAACAGTTGTCCAAAGTACAACCCCCGGTACCTCTCAATGACGCTATGTCTATGAACATGGCATCCTCGACGGATCTCGTGAAGATAGAGCTGAAGGTAATGTATAGTGTATAAAGCAAATAAGAAGTTTAAGATGGAGAAGAATGAAAACGAATTATTTAATTTATGTGACTGAAATACAAAACAGAGATTTTGAGTTAGTAATAATCAGGGTTGGGCAGTAACTCGTTACCTGTAACTTTCCCAACCCTGGTAATAATTGATTTCACTTGTGTCGGTTGTTCTTTCTTTTCCGTGAGTAAATTTTCTTTGATACCACGAGCCTGCGACAAAGTGGATATTGATACATTTCATGCCGTATCGACTTCTGATTTATATATTGTGAATTTTGATATTTAATGAGTTTTTAAAGTAATATTTTATCTATATAATATACACACACATATGTGTACACACACATCCTGTATTTTTTGTATATTTACAGAATATATTCACTATTTTTATTCAACTATACTTATTGTAAATAAAAATAAAATATTTTGTAAAAAATAGAAATACTTTTATATTTTTATCAAATGTTTTTATGTTATAATATTAAACTTTTGTGTATGTTACATGCAAATTTGTGTGTGATTTTAGTTAATTCTCCGTCTTTAAAAGTACTTGTGACTGTGTTCTATCTATTCACGTTATCATTATACTTTATAGATGTAATCCTTGTTTGCAGGAGAATGACAAAATCAACGATATTGATCCATTTTGGAGTAACACCTGTGATAAATTTATGGAGCAGTTACGTTCGGGTGATTCCGCGAAGAAACGGGGGCGTAGAAAAAAAGTGAGCGGTAACGCAATGTCGAAGCTTGAAGACACAGCTAACGATAGCGACAAGGAATCGGATACCAATGCGTCGCATTCTCAAATTAAGCCCGAAAACATCAAGAAGGAAATACCGGATCCGTCTAGTAAGGAAGATAAAAATTCGGTCTTCAAGGACATTAAGATCAAGACGGAACCTGGACTGACGAAAGAGGATGATAAACACTCAAGCGACGATTCAGATGAAGTGCCGTTAATTAAAAGAACAAGGCAGGAAATAAAGAAGGAAGATAGTGATTGCGACGAGGAAGTGATATGCCGAAGAAGACGGGTCCGTCGCGGCGGCAGAATCAAACTCGAATCTTCTAGTGGCAGCGAATCCTCGAGCGAGGAAAGCGATGTCAGTACCGAGTTCGGCCACGGTTCCACAGTGGCTGACAGACTTCGTGCTAGGAAACGAACTATGGTTAACGTGTCGGAAGGTATGAAGCTTCGTTCAAGGGACACTACTCCGCATAAGGCAAAGACGGAAAAGGAGTCGAAATTGTCGCCCCCCAAAGGTGGAACATCCCAAAAAGCGAAACCGAAGCCATTATTTGGCGACGGTAGCGATTTCAGACCCGGTTGGGAAGAGGAGGTTTACGTATACAAGAAGTCTCTAAGAATGCCACCCAGATTGATAACAGTGTCAAAACCATCGCGCTTTCACCGACTGTCCACGTCGTTGCCAGACTTAGATCCCGGCTCGCCGGCATTGTCCGTCTCGATGGACAGTTCCGACATGTGTCTGAGTCGTAATAAGAGAGACAGCGACATGGAGTCCAATTACAGTTTCAGCATCACGGGACTCGGCAGTAAGATTGACGACGAGGAGGCGACCTCGTCGACTACAGTTTCCTGCCCTCCGAAAGCTATGATGAAACATTTCCGATCGGAGAACAATTCTATCGTCGACGTTCTCGCGCAGAAAGTTGGAAGTGGTGGTGGTCAGAAGGACTCGAAGAAGAGGCAGAATCCGAAAAGTAATAAGAGCAGTAACATTAATAAGAGCAATAACGAGCCGGAACTTTTACCAACGCCAGGTCTCACACCACTTCTGTCGTCCGAGACATTGAAGAACTCTAAGAACAGGGTCGCACCGAAGAATAATAGGAACCCGATTAAAGTTACTAACTCCGTCCTCCTCGGTTATTTCCGCAAAGAGACGGTCAATAATTTCCGCGAGGCGTTCAAGAATAATCACACGTTGCCCAATAAATTCTCCACTCTGGTATTGAAGAGCCGAACAAGAACGGAGACGAAAGTCCTGAAGAAAGAGACGACTATTCGTGAAGTATTTGGCGAGGATAGACCCGCATCAGCCCCGCCGATGCAAAATCACGATGACACATCACAGGACGACGATTCACAGAACGAAACGCCGGAGAATGCATTGGGCAAGGTACGAACGTTGAAGCAAAAAGTGGTGTCCCGTTTGAGGAGTGCTGGTATATTACGAAGTCACAAGACGATTGTGAACTCGAAACGCCGTTTGTTAACCGTCGAGAGGCGAAAGGATCTATTCAAGTCGCTCACTAACAAGAAATTACGTCGTATCAATACCGAGATAGAGCAGGAAGAGACGAACGATGCTAGAGAGGAGGAAAATAATGAGATGGAGGATGACAAGAACGATTTGGAGATTCGTAACAAAAAGAAGTTGAAGCTTCGACCTGGCCGACGGAAATTCCGTTCTGGATTCGACTATATTCGTAAGAAGAAGAAGCCACTGAAGAAAGACGAGGCGTTGCCGAAGGAAAGGAAGAGAGTATGTATATTCAATTATACATATTTTTTGTTTGATTGTTGCGCTAATTTCTTTTTTGTAACGCATACGTTGTTTTTTTAATGTTACTTTGATACACGATATTTTTTTACTTTACAGCAAAGTCAAGCTAGCAAACCAAGCCCAGAGTGCGTAGCCGATATTCAGTCTGAGATCAGAACGTGGGTTATCAAAAAGGGCGTCGGAGAAACCATATTACATCGTGCTGCTCGTCTCGGTTACACGGTAAGATAACGGTATCACGGTGCTGCGTCATGCGGCCAAGTTAACTAGCGACTCGCACGAATTGCGATCTCATCTGCTTGTATTCTGCTGCAGGACGTGACTGCTTATTGTCTGGAGAAGCTCAATAGCGCGCCGAGTCCCAAAGACAACGCGGGATACACACCGCTTCATGAGGCGTGCTCCAAGGGTCATCTAGAAATCGCGAAACTCTTGCTGGCTTACGGCGCAAACGTTAGCGAGAGTGCTAACGGTGGCATCAGGTATTAAATTTTCATCAAATCTTTTGCGACAAATGTTCTCACTTAGATCGGCAAGTTACTTGACGAGTGTAGGCATTTATCGTGATAGATTGATAGAGAGATGTACATATATTCTTGTATTACCAGGCCACTTCATGAAGCGGCAGAGAATGGTGTTACGGAGCTTGTGCGATTACTGTTGTCGTACGGTGCCGACCCATTGTTGGCTACTTATTCCGGACAAACGCCTTTGATGCTAGCTACTGACACCGAAGCTAATTCCATTCTAGAACAGCATCTGGCTGACATCCAAGGTCGTACCACTGTACCATGGTCATTCGCCGGTCCATCTTCTATTTTCGGTACGTCATAGCTGGCATAAACCCTAATTCGTAAATGTTATGAATATTACATATGTATATTCCAGTTAAATATTTTAAATCTTTTATGGACTTGTTTTCAGATCCAGAAGAAACAGGTTACAATCCGCTCGATGATGCTCCGTTGGACAGTCCTGAATCAGAGCTAGATGATATCGAAATGGAAGTAAGCGACATCAACTTGCCTGCCCTTTTCACTCTGAACAACGATCCCGACAAGTGGGTGCTGCTTCAAGATCTCATAGCGATTTTGAGGATAAAGAGTCGCGATGCTCTTCTCCGTCAAATTAATCCGAAAGCTCATTCTGGGCCGCCTGCGATCGCGCATCGTGACATTATGCGTGAGCTAAAGCTGCCAGATTTTCTGGAGCAGTCTCGTTGCTGTCACCTGCTGAGCGGCGGCGAAAGGATTAATGTACGTGGTTCCAAGGTCACTCTTATCAAGTACAACGACAAGGTGAAGTCCCTGCTGAACGTGGAGAAAGTGCTGATTAGCCTTAGGTGACAAGAGGCGTCTCTGGGGCGATCATCTCCCCAGGCATCGAAACCATCGACTTCGATTCCGGCCAAGGAACAGCAGAAGAAAGTTGAGGGCAAAACTACTATGAAACGCGAGCGGCAACAAGGTAGAAAGCGACAAGAGACTCGTAACAAAAATTCCACGGACTGAGCGGCTCATTCTGTAGCTGATGATTTATCGAAATACAATAAAAATTCTAAAAATTGACGATTTAAGAATTATCGCTGAAAAATAACTAATGTTATGAACCAGGTCATTTTGGTAACTGTTTCACGACGCGTTAAAAAAAATAAGGAAGAAAAAGGAACAGGTTCTTTTAATATATAGAAAGAATACTAAATGACTGATGAAAATCTGTTTGTCTGGAAAGTTCGTCCCTGAAGATAGAAAGACTGATCAACACAATAATGAAGATCGGTGCTTTTACGTGTATCTAAAGACTGACTTCTCGATTTGTCTTATGCTTCGAAGGTAAATCGAATTAATTGCTGATTGAACACTGATCGAACTGATCGAATTGATTTTCTCTTCTCGATCTCTTATAGTGCAGAATATAATGAAATGGAGCTTGACTAAAGTGATAAGAGATACGCACATAATCGGTTCCGTTCCTTCATTCAAGTGATGAATTTATCAATCGAAATAAAGAAAGTCGGTAATACACCGATATTCTGCCGGGAGCGTAATGCGCAATTAAACTAACTTCGAAGCACATAGCTGTGTAAATGTAGTTTTAACAAAACTATTGTCTACTATTTAATGCGCAGCTAAGAGTGGGGAAACAGCTACCTGTGACATTATATAGCAGTATTTAATTGGGATATATACGTAATATACCCATAGAATGAGGGATATTTTATTAATTCTCTTAAGGACTGAGTAAATAATCAGAAGTTCGTTAACGTAACGCTTTTAGGTGATTGAAAAGAGGGAAACGTGTTGTTCGGGGCGATCACGACGATGGGAAAATGATGAGTCTTTGACAGTAGATTTCTCTCTCAATTGTCGAACCAAGTTTCGGAATAGTAATAAAAATAATAATAACGTAAATAGAGTAATAATTATTTTAGGAGTGCGAGAAAACATAGCGCGCACGCGCGCTGTCGTACCAGATATATTTTTATCTCGCACGTGGCTTCAAGAAATTTCTCCGATTTTAGGGGGCTTCACTCCGGGATTCGTGGAATTGGAACGAGCGCCCATGCGCGTTAATATTAGCTTTTCCTCTTTGAGCTACTACAGAACACGTCGTTAGAAGATGAGAATCGACGTTAAGAGAGCGTAACATAATTGAAATTGCTATCGCGAATGATAATGTTACCACAGTTTAGTCTTTGTTTTTCCTTACGTTAGAGAAGAATTGTACATTATACTGTGCACGTTATATTTATAACATGTGTTAATTGACCATTGCGAATAGGTGCTTTGAAACGCGAAGTGAATTGAATTTCAATTCATTGAGTCCGGAATAATATTTGACCCATTGAGGAGACACCGTCACACGTATAAAGGTGCATATCTGTTGTCTAGTTCTATTTTTAGTATTTCGCTATTTTTACTATTGTAATACACAGGATGTTCGAAAAAGGTGATACCAAATTTTAGGAATATTCATGAAAACAAGCAAAAAACTCTTAATAAGTAGTTGAGTACTTTGACGATTCAATAAGTCAACTCCTTCCAGAAAAAAAAACCCACGCTGATAAACGCAGATACTGGAAGGGACTTGAGGTCCAGGAGTGGACTGAGATAGAATATTCTATCAATTGGCTGAGAAAGAAAGTCGAATATTATTCAATAAATGATATTTAAATGCAATTTACTTTTTACTTGACGCATTTTCTGTTATCAAAATAGATAAAGACTAAATTTAGTTTATAAAATTAATTTATCTGGTACAGATATTCAATGTGTCCGGGCGTACATTATATGAGATGCTCGTAAATGAATGATATCACTATAAGAATTACAAAAATGCTTTCTAACTTTGAAATAAATGATTTCTGAAGTCCCGCATACTTAGTAAGACACTCTCTGGTTTGTTTTCACGAGTACTACTTACGCATAAAATTGGATTTCCATCTTTTTGAACACTGTACAATTATACATGTATATTTATATATGTGTATGCGTACACGCATATATAAATATATATATATATATATATTATGACGAGCTATATTTGTACACATATAAGTGTATGTATGTACCATATACGTACACCTATACGTATAGATACAAAAAATCGACTTTTAATTTATATTTGTGAAGCTCTTCGTTTTGTACAGCTTCCAATGTAGCGACTTAATTTTAATTCGGATAAAAGGATAGCCTCAACAGGTGTCAATGGCTCAACTCTTGTAATGTGGGAAGTGCAATTCGCGGAATAACATTTTCGTTTCGTTGATGGTCTAAGTACACGGTTATTATTTAGGAGTTTAGGGAAGGTAGATAATTATTTCGCGAAGGAGTAAAGCGGCCGGAAAACGCTGCTTAAAAACGCTCACGTGCAATAATATATCCGTTTTTACACTTTATCTTCAAGTTATTTCTATATTCTTGCGACCGTGTCAGGATAATGTTAGCACGTCATATCGGCAATCGGATGCTCGCTAAGAAAATAATTTGTAAAATGGAAAAGAGAATGCAATTAATAATAAAATGTAGTAAAACTCGAAGGAAGAGTGCAATTGAAAAATCTAATGAAAAATACTACATTTTATATTGTGATTAATTCGATATACGGAATTCTATACGGGATAAAGTACGGGATACAGATAAATCCGCGAGCAACGATCACTAAAGCGACGCCGCGTTTGATCGAAGCAATTTAGGAACGGAAATTTTATAATAAGAGGTGAGAGGAGTTATTTTAAACTTGGACAGAACCATTTCGGGGAGGGACGTATCGTTTGTACTTACTCGCGACGTTTCTGCGTTGATTTTCAGATGAAGATATTTAAGCGTATGTATTAGGGTACGTTTATGAAGCGAGGCGAAAGGAAAAAAAGAAAAGGGGGACGCGCGGGATAGTTCAGTTTCGCTTAGGATGCTGTAATACGCGTTTTACTTTGGCGTCGTGTGTAGCACAGAGGTTTCAATCGTTATAATCAGTCTCAGGGAAAAATCCACGTGTATTCTTGGAAGTAACACTTGACGGTGTACCGACTACAGATGCGTGTGTGCGTGCGAGCGACGCGTATCGATGCATATGCGTGTACAGTAGCTAGTTGAAGAAGAAAAGATGATTCTCCTGTTGCGAGGGATAATTATTAAAAATATCTAATTAATATTGAGTGATATTAATTAATGTTAATACGAGACGTCGATCTGTCGCGCAAGCGACGGCGCGTGGCGCTCGGGCGACTCCTTATAATTTTTATTTAGCTGACGATATCGAGTGGATAGGGTTGCATTATACCGATTGTACATACCGATATACATATTTTCAATAAGGGGAAAAAAAACGAAATAAAGAGAGGAATTACTTTTCTCTCTGACAGAACGACAGGAAACCGTGGTGTACGTACTGTATGTATCTTTTATTCTTTAAGTAGTTAAAATGTAGATTGCGGTACTTGTTTATATTAGCGTATACTATTTGTGTATAATATAAAGCATTAACCGGCGAGATAGTCACGTTGTGCGACATGAGATAAACTAAGTATGTATATATGTCACGTTGCGACTATTAGAAATATTATTTACTACTATTACTACTATTGCTACTATCACTACCGCGACTATTAGCTATTACTGTCACTACTGCTGCTGCTGCTACTACTGCTACTGTTATCATCTACGATTACGCGCTTTTTTATTGTACCATATATACATAGTAGTTAAACGATGGATGTACATTTTCTCTCTTAGTCGTGTAACATTCACACAACGCCTCTCCCTTCTATTGCCCCCCCCCTTGTATTTATACATTCAAGAAAACTTCTAAATGTGTTAATGCTGCTGCTTTAATGCGGATAAAGAACAGAAGTTATATATAAATATATAAAACATATATATGTATATATATATTATATATATGAACACAAATATATAAATATATGCATACATATAAAAGATATGAACAAATATATAAATATAAATAAATATATATATACAAATATATATTTTATTTCAGAGATTTAGTTCGAAACAACGTTGAAGCTGATGAACAAATTAGAGTCGTACTGTGATTCGTGTAAAGAGGAAATCGTTATTATTGTCATTGCCGTAGTCGTTACAAGCGAGTCACGATGGACCCGACGAATAACTTTCTAAACAATGGAAAAGATATTTGTGATTTTTTTTTTCGCTAATAACAATAACGAGTTATCCGATCGATGTAATAAAAACAAGTATTTTTACTGAAACTCTTATTCCTATCCATCAACCCTAGTCATTTAACTGCTGAAACGCTGAAAGGCCACGTCGAGGGTGATAAGATTTCAAATTTTTTCTACATAATTTTCTTATATCTCAACCTTGTAAAGCTTACACTTTTACTTTCACGTATAAGTACACACGGGAGATGCAGTATTACAAATGGCAATTAGGCTATAATATATAATTTTACCTTAAAGTTGATTGTGAAGATACGTTATATCAAGTATATCGTCATTTGTATACAAATGTAAAAGTAAATTATTCTGTCATCGGAATATCCCTTTACCTCGACGACATAATGTCGTCTTGTTAATCTAACTTCACCGCAATATCCCTCTACGAAGGTATGGAAAAAAACATGGGAAGAGAACATTACAGATCCACAGTAGTAAAATTGGTAAAACGTTTATTAACTATTTAAAAACGATGAAACAAGGTGAACATGAGATTGACAATTTAATAAGTAATATTATTAAATAGACTATAGAGGTGTATAATAGGTGTCTGCGGTAATTATTCTCTTTATATACGGTCTTTTACACATCGAGACAGATATCTTTCAACTCGGCGAAGCCAGGCCTTCTGTCCTTCAGGCACAAGCCGAAGCTCGTCGCTTCGTACCTCGTACTATCTCGTATGATAATCGCGCTTAATTAATAATCTAGGACTCGCGGTAGGAAAAGAAAAATAGCCCGAAAGCGTGTCCGCGCGATATTATCGTTCCCCGCGAGCGAACGTTACTACGAAATAAGGGAAAGAAAACGTTCGGCTCTCTATTCCAGGCGACAGGAGTGATCGTCGCGTGTCGCGCTCGCATACGTTGGCTACGTCATCATCATTTATCATCATCATCATCATCATCGTCTCTCGTGATCGCGACTCGCATATCCAAATCACGACAACAACGTGGCTATATTACAATTAAATTATCGTAATGACACCTCGTGCTCCGCAACAATTCGATTTTCCGCTCGTGTCACGTGGGGAGAATCAATTACACCTCCTCGCGCATGATTAATGCTACGGAAACGGAAGGAGCAAGCGGACAAAAGCATTGTGCGTGTAGTGGCACGCGATCGCGGCCTCGCAGCCCGATGAACGAGCGAAGGCCAAGCGAGGGGATTTTTCTATATCGACAGCCGAATTCCGGGCGCGAGTTTGTCGACGAAGGAAGTCTTCGCTTCAACTATTGTTCGGCAAATTCTATAGCTCTCGGTACTTCGACGACGGAGCCCGATCTGCCGCCGCATCCGCGGTCCTCTCCTCTTCCCGTGTCGCCGCAGCTTTGTCCGTTCGCGCCTTTCGTGACTCCCCCGCGGTATCGTAAGTACATAACCGAGCGTGATTTTCCCTCCCTCCGCCCGCCTTCAGCCGGATGCACCGGAGACTCTCGTGTAGAGCTAGACCTCACGTATCGATCAGCGACGACTGCCTGCTGATCCGGTGCCAAGAACTATATCTTATGATACGAAGGAGCGGCATACACCTATACGCTCGCGCCGAAGCTCTTCGCTGGGAAACGCGACTGTGCGGCGTGACAATTCCTCATCTCGTCAGGATGCCGAGTGACACCGTGTAACCGCGAAGGAAGAACCTCTCGCCAGGTTCCTCTTTCCCTCCTCGAGCCTCCACCTACTACGCCCCTCCGTCTCAATACACGCGAGTATATAATATATGTATTTACAATAATACCTACTATAATAATAATTTAGTGGTGATATTTAAATTACAATAGTGTTTTTTGCTCTTTCTCTCGTTTTCTTTTCTCTCCCCTCGCATCGCCCACTCCGCAAATATAATGTTGCACATGACCCAGTTACTGGCTTAGTCGTCTAGCTGTACAAAACATTATATATCGTTATGTGTATCTAGCATCTAAAGATTTGTCCTGTGAGGTTTTCTTTTCTCTTTTTTTTCTGCTTTTTCTTGTTTTTCCACTGTTTCTCTTAATCCCGTGGGTTCGTTAACACATACACAACGTCGTCGGGGCTACGGTTCTCTCTCCCACCCGCGGTTTCCCCCCTTTTGCCAAAAAGAACAAAACGAGCTCGCCGAATTCGCACGACGTTCTCGGCGCGCTAATTGCGCTTAAGTACATTTAAAAAATACCGCGCCCGAGCACGACCGAAAAAGCGTTCGCGTTTCGCGGCTGATAGCTCGGTCGAGTCCGAGAGAGCTCTTCCGAGTTTGCCCGCCAACCTTCGGCGCACCCCGGATCTAATCTTCTCGAGCAATTGTACAACGCCTCTAAATTCTCTCGCAAGGTTAATTAATAAAATTAGGGACAATCACACACGAATAATCCGACGATCATGCGATAAAAGTTCCGAATTTCTTTCGGTCTTCTTTTTTTTTTTTCTTTTAGTTTACCAGAGACATGGGTTGCGATAAAATTCTACACGATGTGCTCGGATCCCCTCCTCGTTTCCCCCTCCCACTCGACGATCTTTCGCTCGATTTTGAAGTTGGAGGAGAACAAATCGCGCGTCCCAATCGACTTTATCAATTCTCCTCGGGGAAGTGGCCGGTGATATCGTGTGCCCCATCGGTTTAAGTAATCCTTCGGCTTAAAATTCTCTGCGGCGATTCACGTCGTGTTACGTTCGTTTTAAGTAGGGACTCTTTGTGCTACATTGGATACGGGAGGGAAGGAGGGATCAGGAAAGGGTGTTAGAGCATTACTTAATCGTATTTATCGTGAATAATTAAGCTTGTCGCCTCGGCGGCAGGGTCCAGGCGTTGGGCCCGTGCTGAGCGTGGGGGGCAGGACGTCACAGCTGCTGATCCCTGCAGGGAACCCAGATGTTCGGTCCTGACTGCTCGGAGATGACCTCCTTCACCTTCACGTAGATCTCCTCGGGAGTGTCCCCTTGAACGACGGCTGCGAACAACGTACAGCGGCGATTTAATTACACAAGGGTATCTCGTGTGTTTGTGATTTCGTGATTTTTCTTCCCGAACTTATTTCGCACGAATTTGCAATAAGCTGCACTTGCTTAATGTTAACGAGCACTTTGATAATCGAAAATCAACAGAGGGCAATACTACGTCCAGCTGAATTTTATTTATAAACGCGAACTTAATAAAGTTTTCTTTTTTAAATGTAAACGTACCAGTAAAGTATTCACCAAATTCTTGCTCCATCTTGAGCGCACGTTCGTACGTCTTCTTCGCCTGTTCCTCGGTCATCCTCTTGTTCATCTCCCTGTAAAATTACAAGCGCCAGATTTAATAAAATAGACCGATACGAAATCTCAACGTATTAAAAGATCGAACGGTGATTATTGGACTCACATGACAGACTCGATTGATTTCGGCTTGATGAAGATGGCAATAGGATAGAGTTGCGCTACTTGTAACCTCTTGATCGCATTCCCACTCACATCAAGAATACAGTGCTTGGCCTGAAAACAATTGCAGGTATTTTTCCGTAATTCCCCGTCGATACAATACAGTATGACGTAAGGAGAAATGTGCGAACTATTCAGATTTAAATACGGTTCGAATCGGGTGCATTCGAGAAATGCTCGTTTCTATTGGAATATTTAAATTTTCACGATTCAAATCTGAACTACTCAAAAATTTCGAATCTAGATAGTTTAAGTACGAATCCTATACATTGTCAACCTCACGCAATCTAGTTTTCCATTAATAGGCAAAACGGTATAGTCGTGTTAATAAATATACATGTATTCTTGTAGGTGCATTCAGTACTGCAATGAGTGACCAAGTAGCAGTAGAATGTGATTGCTTCTTACCTTCGGTTTAAACCAAAAGTATTGATAATAAGATAAGCTATATTATTATTTTATTATCCTTTAAATTACTGTATACATAATGAGCTGTTACATTAGAATATTTTAACAATTTACCTATGATTTCTCGTTTAATTATTTCAGTTTCTGCGACATTACATAAAGTGGATTTTATTGGTTTGATATTAAATATTTAAATATGTTTTTTTACCTTGAAATGAATTTACATTGCGTAATGTGAATTTACATTAGGTAATAAATATTTCTTGCACGTTAAAACGTTCCTTTACTATCTACGCATTAAAATTCAATCTAATAATAATTATATTGACATTCGTGAAATAACGTTAGACTGTTTATTGCGATAAATATTGCCGCATGCCTCGGTGGTCGAATTGGTGAGACGCCCGCCTAGTGAGAGAGAAGTCTAGGTTCAAATCCTGGCTGAGGTAAATTTTTCGCAATAGATTTGAAAATTAAAATCATTTAGACTCTATCATCCAGTTTTGGCTCTTATACCCTTTATTCCTTCTAATTGTGCCCAGCGAGACATGACTCGTTGATTGATGTCGAATCATTTCTCACTGGGTGATTTCAGGTCAGAGCCTTATGAGTTTTATTGGTCAATAATGATATTGTTAATGAAAAACTGGATATCAACGATTCACTTCGATTCGGATGAAATTTTGTCGACTTGGTTCAATTCGTATTTGAGGAAAGAAATGAAACCCAATTCTGTTCGATTCAACAGAAAAAGTTCACGACTCGCATATATCTTGGAGCAAGCGAGATCTGACAAGTCGATCCTGCGTTACCAATATGTGCATACCTTTTCAGCAACTTCTCGCACAGACGCAACAGATGTTCCGTAAAGATTGTCGTTATATTGTCCAGCCTCTATGAACAAATGATTCTGTATGTCCCTCTCCATTTGCTCCCTCGACGCCACGAAGTGATAATCCCGCCCATCCACTTCGTATTCTCTTCTACTCCTAGTAGTGTCTGCGGGCAAACGGGCAAAGGTCGATGTACAGCGCCGTGGGAGGGCGGCTAATCGTTAGTTTAGCGATCAGCAGACTATCGGATAACTCACGTGGAACACAGCTGCCGAATTTGTCAGGGAACTCGGAGATGAGATCATCGTTGATGCGGTCCTTGAGCGGTCCGAGAACAATCACGGGACGCGTGTACTGTATCGTCAGCTGCTGCACGGCCTCGTACGAGAGCACGTTCTCTTCGCTGCCTGTAATGGTTTAATCGAATGTACACGGACGACTCCACGACGCACCCCTCCGAAAGAAGACTCGGATAAGGGAGGGGCACGTCGCCGTCGGCACGTCGTGACGAGCGATCATCATCGCGATCTCCTTGGACGGCGCGCAAGTCCGCCCACTCGGACAGGCAGAAAAGAGAAAAAGCGACAGCACTACCATCCAAGAAGAGGAACAAACAAGACCCTTTATCCGACCCGCTTCCGAAAGATAGGCTCCGCTGACGACGGTGTCCCCGACGATGTCATTGATTAATTGACACTTCCACGAAACGGACGCGGGACAATGTTACACACTGAGCGATATGCGTTGATCGGAGTCACTTGAAACAATCTCTGGCTGGCGACACTCGACAGATCAGTCATCGGCAGCAGTCCTTCAACTGTCTCAAGCGGACTCCGAGGGGGGAAAAGGCTCTTGGCACCACTGGCGTTTCGGACAAGTACACATTTCTCTTGGGGGACGAGTCACGAGCATGCTCGCAGCGTTTGAGCGAAATCGAAAGCGGGAGGCAAGCTGTACCTCTTAATCACTAGAAAACTTGAAGCGATCCAGGGACGTCGGGGGTGCACAAGTGACGTTAGTATGGATAGCGACTATACCAGTACTCGACAGAGAGAGAGAGAGAGAGAGAGAGAGAGAGAGAGAGAGAGAGAGAGAGAGAGAGAGAGAGAGAGAGAGAGAGAGAGAGAGAAGCGACGATCGGTAGAGAGGACCGACTTCGTTCGCTTGAGAGGACCGACTTCGTTCGCTTGAGACGGCGGCATCGTTGTAAGAGGCGGCGGTACCGTTGTTGATAAAACAATAAGCGTCTTTCGGCGACTTTCGGCGTCGATTGATGGCGGCGACTGAAACAGTCGAAACTTAAAACAAGCGACAGGCGTTTTTCCGAGATGCAAAGCGTACGAGCGACGAGAGAGTCAGTCTGGATCGGCCTAGCGGAGAGAGCGGGTCGATCTTAGCGAGTGAGAATCTGAGAGCGTAACGCGTGAGTGTAGAGTGTCTATAGAGTATCGTCAAATCTTTCCCGAATCTTCTGGCCTTTGGTTTCATGTACTATTAAATAAACTTAGTATACACTATACAACCTTATATCCCTACAATATATGTACACTACTCAAAATAAAATAGGGAACACTTTTCATACCCTAAAAATTGGGCTATTTTCAAACCATTGAAACTCAGCGAAAAATCATCGTAGACTCAAAACTAAAAAAGCATTTTAAAGCTTGAAGTTTCAACTTTAAAACTCTGTCAACTATTTATTTAAGTATGTTCATCTTCCTCGTTCTGTGCTTTAAAAAAGAATACCTTGTTTTGTTCCTTAAAATTACGTATATTTGACACATTGCAGCTCAATAAAAAAAATTCTCTCGACAAATTCGATACAAGTTCCACAATCTACAACATTTTACCTACAAAATGCTTTTTTTTAAATTTTTCTACGATTTTTTGTGACAGAGTTACATGACTTTGAAGCGAACCATGTATTTTCTTAAAAAATGATGTTTACCGCCGGCATCGTGCGCGTGCGCGTGCGTGTGCGTGTGTGTGTGTGTGTGTGTGAAGCTGGCATCTCATTTTGCGAAAACTCACAAATTATTGAGAGTTCTGGCTTCCTTTTCAATAGTTCTAGAGTTCCTGATGGTTTAAAGGTTTAAACAAATAGTTCTGGCCGTTAAAATGAAAAAAATCACTTAGTGCAAAGTGAGACGCTGCGTGAAGTTAGCGTATCACTTTTCACTAAGCGATTTTTTCGTTTTAACGGCCAGAACTATTTGTTTATAAGATAGGTACTTACAGGTCTATCGTCCTCTGATGCCATTAATTGTGTCAAACCCACGTCGTGTCAATCCACTTCACAAAAAAAACACTGAATTTTCTAAAACTCGGCAACGTACTCACTCTTCGTTTCGGTAGCTTAAATTGCAAACGGTTAGCAACAGATCTCAACGGTCTCAACTAGTCGTCGAGTGCGACAAGCAACGACAGGACAGGACCGACCCGGCCGACAGGGTAAAAACAAATAGCGATCGGCGCGGCGCGCGACGCACTGCGGCACCGGTGCGTCGCGCGCCGCTACGTCCATGATTGGCACGTGATTGGAAGGTGCGGGCCATGATTTCTGGCGGAAAATTCGAATGCACTCATTTAAAAAAAAGACACGAAGTCGTTATACTTTTTTATATTTTCGCATAATTGTATATACAACACTCATAGAGCTTATTAAGTAGAAGAAGAGAATTAGGGGATTGCAAAGGTTAACTCGTTGCACAGATTAATACAAAATTTATAAACAAATTAAATCTGAGAACACTATTCCATGTGTAGACGAACTTTTGTAATATATATTAGGCCGCATACTTAGTTAATGTAATTTAAAACACAATAATTTTCAGTTTTCTTAGATTCAGGAAACAATTTTAGTTCTTTTCATCTCATAAGTCGAATCGATATCAAATCGATATCGAATCGTTGATAATGGACAAAACGTGAAAACGTTGAAAATCTTGAAAGGAAGTATTAATTATGCTACCAGATTGAACAATCTTGCAAATTTGCTACAGATGGTTTGCAAAGTTATCACAACATCGAAATAATCTCGAAATGTTTGAAATTATCGATGTTCAACAACCTGACAGAACCGCATCGATGAGATCTGATAAAATCGATATCGAATCGACGTCGATCCGATATATCGTTTCTCACTGGGTATAATTCTTCTGTCAAATCACCTTGTAGGAAGGCTGTAACTACATCTAAATGGTCAACTTCAAGATCCATTTTTACGGCGAGGGCAAGGAGTAAGCGTATGCTTGCATATCTCACTACAGGAGAATAAGTTTCTTCGTAATCCAAACCTCTAATTTGCGAAAAGCCTATTACAACTAATCGAGCTTTATATCGTTCGACGTCGTTATTTGAATCCCTTTTTGTTTTGAAGACCCATTTGTTTTTCAAGGGTTTCCTACCTGGTGGAAGATCAACAAGTTTCCAGGTTTTATTTTCAGTGAGAGCGTTGAATTCGCTTTTCTTCGCTTGCTGCCATGAGTCACACTCTTCACTTTCAATTGCCTCCTGAAGTGTGATAGGGTCAGGTGAACCAAAGGCCATCGCGCTGTATGTTATGAAGTCTCTAAATTCCTTTGGAACAGGTTTCCTCTTGGATCTTCTCAACGTTGTCGATGTTTCGGGTTCAGTTGCCTTTTCCTGTTCTTCGGCTGAAGAACTTTCTTCACTGATGGTCAAGGGTTCTTCTCCTTCGTTCTCGGCGTCCCAGAAATTCAGTGAACTCGAATCATCGTCGCTTAGTTCTGCTGAATCATTTAAATCACGATCGAGGTCCTTTTCGCATATCATTACTCCTTTCGTCGCTGTTTGTTTGACACTAGCCTCTTTCTGTTGGGCATTTTCAATAAAGACAACATTTCTAGCCTTGATTAATTATTTTTTGAGATGGTTCGTGATATAATCGGTATCCGTTTCTATCTTCTAAGTAGCCGACAAAGACACATTTTTGTGACTTCATATCCCATTTCTTGCGACATTCTTTAGGGATATGCATCATTGCTTCGCAGCCGAAAACACGCAGATGCTGTTGTGGCGAGTATATCATCACATCCAACGGCTATAACGCGCGAACAGACAAATCACATATACACATACATGCGAAACGTGACGAGAAAAACAAAGACAGCTGTGCGAAAACAGAGGTACTGGCGAGATTTAAACCCCGGTGACTTTGAGCCGAGGAAACGATCTAACGTTTTAGGGGACTCGACCGATAGACGTGCTCGCGTGCGGACGTGTAATCGAGAGCAAATTACAATTGTGAGACAGTTGAGGAAGGAGAATAAATTATTCTTTCACCATACATTCTTTATTCCGACACGATAAATATAATCAATCCCGCACGCCAAACGATCCTAAACTGTAACTCGGTTTCTCGCCGGACCATATCTCTTCTGGCGTTCGATGTTGGAGGGCTCTAGCGGGAGAACGGTTGATCAAGTATACCGCTGTGGATGAAGCTTCTGCCCAGAAAGTAATTGCCAGATCTGATTCCGCGAGAAGACACCTGGCCCTTTCAACTATCGTTCGGTTCATCCTCTCAGCAAGCCCATTTTGTTGTGGGGTGTGAGGGATGGTAGTTTGATGATGAATGCCACAGCTGCGTAAGGAGGCAGAGAATTCTTTATTGACGAATTCTCTCCCGTTATCAGTACGTATTGCTTTTATACGTTGTTCCGTTTGATTTTCGGCTTCCTTTTTGAAATCGTCAAATTCAATTCCAAGGCTTGAGATTTCTTTTCTAAAAAGTATATAAATATTTTCCTTGAATGATCATCCACTATAGTCATGAAATAGCGAGAGCCACCAAGGGACGTATTCTCCATCGGGCCGCATAGATCCATGTGCAACAATTCGAGTACCTGTTTCGCTCGCTTCCTCACTGAACGGTGGGTTCTCTGTGTTGTTTGCCCTTGAGGCAAATTGTGCAAGGTTCACGTGATGGACTCTTGAATCTCAAGTCTCTTGCGTGTTTATCTCTTAATAATTTCATGTTCGTCCTACCAAGATGTCCAAGTCGACGATGCCACAACTCTGCGGATCCTCTTCTGCTCGGCAGCTGTACGACGTTGCTAGCGGACGATCCAGACGATATGCACCGTTTATCTGGGTTGCTGTTGCCATTAGTTCATTGCTGTTATCAAAGATCTCGCAGGTTTCCGCTTTAAAATTCACAGTGAGACCCTTGGCTATCATCTGACTCACAGAGAGTAAATTTGGCGACAAATCTGGTACGTACAGCGCATTTTTTTTATTTATTTCGTCCGTAGTACCAGGTGAACTGACATTCACCTTGACATCGCCTACTCCCTGCATAGGAAAATTCATGTTATTTGCAATAACGATACGTGACAGTTGAGCCTTATTAACTTGAGTGAAATATTCCCGATTGTTCGTCATGTGGGCAGATGCCCCGGAGTCGATAAACCAGTCATCCTTTCCCGTCGTGCCAGTGAAGAACGCCTTGGGCTCGCGTTGCTTAGTCGGCTTTGAATCCTTGGTTCCGTTCTCTTTGTTCTTCTTATTCCCTTGCTTCGGACATTGCGAGAAGAAATGACCGGGTTCGTTGCATGTATAGCATCTCGGCTTTCCTTTTGGCCGTTTGGATTGACCATGCTTGCCGTAAAACGCCGTTTCGTGGTTCGGTCCTTTAATCCCTTGATTATCGCTTCGAACTTCCTGCAACAACTTAGTTTTAATAGAATCCCCTGTAATGGGCGTACCTGAGCTCTCCAGCCCCATGATCATAGGTTTGTAGCTTTCTGGAAGACCCGCGAGCAGTAGCGTGCCTATCCATTTTTCCTTCACTTCTAATCCGACATTGTGCACTGTTTAATTGGTATGCGGTCCTGATTATTTGCGTCACGTATTCTTTTGTAGAGCGACTTATCTAGTTGTGTCGTCACTAATTTACGTAGCAGGCCAACTCTTCGTGTTAGGCCACTATCGTCGAAGGCTTTTCCGAGAGCATCCCAGGCTTCTTTAGCTGTTGTCGTTCCTTGGATGTGAACAAAATTTATGGGATCTACAGCCAGTACTATTTTGGCTCGCGCACGTTTAATTTTCTTAGCGTCTGTTTCTGTTCCTTCTACGAACGCCCATAAGTCTTCAAGCTCTAAATAACTTTGGATGGCGAACTTCCATGTGGTGTAGTTTTCGCGTCCAACTAACCTCTCTATCGGAGGCAGTACACTAGTGCTAGCTGTTATGTGCGTCATATAAATTTGTTACCGCGTACTGCGCGCGCAGGATACATGCGCGGGCGCAAGCGTGAAAAAGCTGCGCTGGAGATGCGCGTGCGAGCTGCGCTGCGTACGAGCGAGAGAACGAGCTGTGTGCATACGTGCAGTGTGCTGGACCGATATAATAAATAGATATATTCAGGAATCACTGTGTCAGCTGCATCGGAGATCGGTATCCCTTTTTCCTCAAAGATTCCCTACATATACAACAAATTGGCGACGAGAATGGGATCAGGCTCGATCGGATCTGGCTCGATCGCAGACTGAGGAATTGTACCGGGATCGATCTAACCCTGTTACTGGACGGGCCGCCATTACCGCCGGTAACTACGCACACAACGAAGCATCGTTTCTCTTGAAAGACAAGTCATGGCTACAGGACAAGTACCAAATACGTTCACTATTGAGCCTTTCGACTCGGCAGCGACCAATCTGTCACGATGGCTTCTGAGGTTGGAAGCGGCTTTCCGAATCTTCGCAATCAAGGACGAAGCTTGTGTACCCTACCTACTTCATTACGTGGGACCGACATCTGTCGATGTCCTCTGCGACCGACTGGCTCCTGAGGATCCCTTTGAGTCGAAATATGAGGCTCTGATTACAATTCTAAAAGGATTTTACGATCCACCGCCGCTCGAGATAGCGGAAAACTTCAAATTCCACCAACGGAAGCAGAAGGAAGACGAGTCCACCCAAGAATTTCTCGCGGCCTTACAAAAACTGAGCATACACTGCAAATTCGGCGACTACCTAAGGACGGCGCTTAGAAATCAATTAGTCTTTGGATTGACCAACAAGAGGGTCCAAGCTCGCTTACTGGAAATACCCGATCTCACCCTGGACAAAGCAACACAAGTGGCCACGACCATGGAGTTATCAGAAAAAGGGGCACAACAACTACAAGGGGAAATGGAGGTCGGCTTGGTACATTCAACGAAGCGATCTACACGCCGTACTAATAATAAGTCAGATAAGTCTAATAAGTCAAGCTATCCTAGTACAAATACACATAAAAATACAGGCAAAAATACCAAGTCCAATCCGGATAATACAAAGAAAAATTCGTATTTTGCGACTAATATTATAACGTGTTTTAGATGCGGTCAAAATCATTTAGCCTCTAAGTGTCTAACACTAAATAAAAATGTCACATGCAACTGTTGCGGTAAAAGCGGACATTTACAAAAAGTATGTTTTAAACGGAACCAAGATGCGAATACAATTACAGAAATTTTACACGTAGAACATGTACTGCAGTTTAGAGATAAAATATTCACCACACTTATGGTGAACGACAAAAAGGTCAAATTTGAAGTCGACAGTGGTGCAGCTGTATCTTTAATGGCCGAAAGCCTAGCACGTAAGTTATTTCCTGATTCGTCCATACATCCTACAGAGTTAAGGTTAGTTTCGTTTTGCCGACAGAATATTCAATTATTAGGATACTTAATTGTTAATATACGATGCTGTAACTACATGCGTAAATTAAATTTATACATCACTAAGGAAACAAGAAATACACTATTAGGCCGAGAATGGCTGACTCAATTGCGAAAAGAACGAAATATTAAAAATTTTTTTAATAACATAGAATCGATAAAAGTAGCAGAGTCAGTAAATAAAAATCAACTGAATACACTTTTACACAAATACCAGTCAATTACAGTTCCGACTACATCTAAGATACTACACGTACAAAGCAAGTTAACCCTAAAAGAAAACGCGAAACCGATTTTCTGTAAAGCTCGCCCTGTGCCGTTCCGATTACGCTCATTAGTGGAGGAAGAATTACATAGATTGGAAGTTGATGGCATTCTTAAAAAAGTTGATACAGCCGAATGGGCTACACCAATAGTCCCCGTTTTAAAAAAGAATGGACAAATACGCATTTGTGGAGACTTTAGCGTCACTTTAAATCCCCAATTAATTATTGATGATCATCCTCTTCCCACTGCGGACGAACTGTTTGCTACAATGGCCGGAGGCGTAGTTTTCTCGAAGATTGATCTATTGCAGGCTTGCTTACAAATGGAAGTACGAGCAGAAGATCAACATCTCCTTACATTAAATACGCATAAAGGTCTTTATCGTTGTAACCGTTTGATGTACGGTATCGCTTCAGCCCCCGCTATCTGACAACGAAACATAGAAAGCATTCTCAAAGATATACCAGGTGTAACCGTGTTCTTGGACGACATACGTGTGGCAGGAAAAGATACAAATGATCATTTGCAAAAATTAGAAGCAGTTTTCAAACGTTTACAAAAGTATAATATTAAAATTAATCTTAATAAAAGCGAATTTTTTAAGGATCAAATTAATTATTGCGGTTACGTTATTGACAGAAACGGATTACATAAGGCACGAGATAAAATAGAAGCGATAAACAAAATGCAAAGACCGCGAAATATCACGGAAGTACGTAGCTTTCTGGGAATGATAAACTATTATGGCCGGTTTATTCCAAATCTCAGTTCAATACTATACCCTTTAAATAATTTATTGCATAAGAACACTCCTTTTCATTGGTCTAAGGATTGTGAGTCAAGTTTCCAAGTAGCAAAAAGAGCATTCACAAGTCCTAAATGCTTGGTGCATTTCGATCCTACATTACATATTACGTTAGCTACAGATGCAAGCCCTTATGGGGTGGGGGCGGTGCTATCACACGTTTATCCGGACGGATACAGAGCGAGTTATTCAATACGCGTCGCAAACGCTTTCAGATACACAAAAATCGTATTCGCAAATTGATAAGGAAGCTTACGCCATTATCTTCGGTATAAAGAAATTCTACCAATACATACATGGGGGACACTTTACGCTAATTACAGACCACCGTCCGTTATCACAAATTTTTGCTCCACACAAAAGTCTTCCTATTTTTTCTGCTATGCGAATGCAACATTATGCATTGTTCTTACAAGGATTTAACTACTCAATCAAATACCGAAAATCAGAATTACATGCGAATGCAGACTGTCTGTCACGTCTTCCCGTAAAGAATGACAGTACAAATTACGATATTATTGACATTTTCCAATTAGACACCATTGAAACCTTACCTACCCTTATGAAAAAATACACTCAATCACACGTTGACGGTCCGAAATAACCATCAAATTGAGTGTAAACCTTCATAATCGAGTGTTTCATGAAGGTTTACACTCAATTTGATGGTTATTTCGGACCGTCAACGTGTGATTGAGTGTATTTTTTCATAAGGGTATTACAATTACAGACTTGAAATTAGCTACACAAAAGGATACAAAGCTTTCAAAAGTATATGAATCATTAGCATCTGGAAAGAAACTAGAAAAATATGATAATTTTCGAATAGATACTCGCGAATTTACATTACAGAACGGAATAATTCTAAGAGGTCACAGAACAGTCATTCCTCAAGCACTACGTAAGAAAATATTACAAGAACTTCATCTTGGACATTTTGGCGTAGTCAGAATGAAGAATCTGGCCAGAGGTTACGTTTGGTGGCCAAATATCGATCAGGATATTGAAGCTTTAGCAAAGAACTGTAAAGACTGTAATGCTTTTAGAAATAACCCAACAAAAATAGAAGCACACATATGGGAACCAACAACAACCCCTTTTGAAAGAGTACACGTAGACTTCGCAGGACCATTTCTAGGATGTCACTTTTTTATTTTAGTAGATACATATATTAAATGGCCTGAAATCCATATTGTAAAGAACCTTACATCAAAAACAACAATAGATTTGTGCAGAAAAATTTTCGCAACTTTCGGAATTCCAAAATATTTCGTTTCTGATAACGCAAAAACTTTCACTGCTACAGAATTCAAAACATTTTTAAAAGTAAATGGAATTACGCAAAAACTTACAGCACCGTACAATCCATCAACAAATGGACAAGCAGAAAGATTTGTACAAACCCTAAAAAACTCCTTGCGGCGCATGAGAAGCAATTCATCTAATATACATATTTTATTACAACAAATACTTTGTGACCGTTCGAATTTGTAATTACTGTGCAACGGATAGCCGCGGGAATTCTAGGGTCCGGCGGTGGGTGCCTCGAAAAGAGAGAGAGTCAGGTTTAATCTTAACTACTGAACTATATTTACAACTTATTCTACAGGAACGACTTATGACTAGCTTACAATTATCCTTATAACTAATTCCGTTCTGACGACGGTTCGCTATTACAATCTGGCGCACGAGCGCTTCGAAATATATGTGCGCGACGACGATCTATTGGTCGGCCCGGTCGGCGGCGGCGCGGTAGTATCGGCTCGGGCCGGTGTGTTCGTGCGCGGTTCGGTTTGCTCGGACTCGGCGCGGGACGGCGGTTCAGTGCGGGCGGCGCAGGCGCGGTATGCTCGGTGTCGGCGCGGTATGCTGTCTGCTCGCCGATGACAGCTCGTGTTTGCGGTTAGGTTAGGTTAGGTGTCGAGCCACTCAGCACGTGGCGAGGATTATAAGCTTCGCTCAGCTCGCGATAGCCTATGGAGAGGATGGCCACTCAGCGCGTGGCTCGGATCGGCAGGGATCTCCCGCTCAACTCGCGGTTCTCGGGCAGGCGCTCAGCACGCGCCAGGATCATAGGCGGGTCGGTTTCTCGCTCAACTCGCGAGTTCGGAAGCGGCTCGGACTCAGCACGTCGTCGCCGTGGGTAGACCTGTTCAGCTCACAGGTCGGGATCTGGTGCTCTCGGTGGTTTTTCGCCGGCTTATATACTGTTCGTTTGTAGGTGCGGGACGGAGTGGTGCCGGGAAATATGTGCGTAGTGGGGAAAGTGTTTTGTTATTAACGGCACGTTACAACTTATGCAATACAGAAACACTAGTCATGCCGCGACAGGAAAATCACCAGCGGAATTAATGTTCGCGAGAAGACTACGTACGCGTTTAGCTTTATTATTACCTTGTTGGATTTATTTATTTATTATATATTAGTGTATCACATGTAAATCTTTTAAATAAGTTATTTTAATATATGACAATTACCGAAAACCTGGTACTGGCTCACATTGCCCTAATCCGTCTTCTTTGACTTAAACACATTGATTATTGCGAAGACTGTAATTAGTATATTTATTATTACCTATCGAAAAAGAATGTATACAAACAGAGAGTAAGCCAGTACCGATTGTTTTCGAGGTAGGAAAGAGAGTGAGTTGTAGAAATTATTTGGGGCATGAAAAGTGGTGTTTCGGAAAAGTTAAAGAGCGGATAGGCAAATTACATTATCAAATCCAGCTAGATGATGGACGAATTTGGAAAAGACACATTAATCAAATGCGTGCGATAGGCGAGAAAACACCAGCGAAGATGTTACAGGACATAATTTCCAGTAACGATTTTACAATAGATAATACTCCACCAGAAATAGAAAGGCCATTACAGCAAGCACCAGAGGAACCAGAGCATCTACAAGAAGAGTTGCATCAACAAACAATACCTGTGGAAAATAGCAATGAAACACAGGAAAATCTCCCGGATAGAGCCACAGAACCCATAGTGGAAACTCCTACACGAGTTTCAAGGTCACCAAGAAGACCACGTAAACTCCCTTTGCGCTTTAAAGATTACCAAGTTCAGTTCAAATAAGAACACGTATACATATTCGTTACAGTTATATTTTTGACGTAGTTTTTCTTTTTCTTTTATCGAACACCCTCGTACATAAGTTTTTGGTAATTATGCATAAAAGGGGCCTCCTCTCCGATTTGCTTTATTTTTAAATATGTTGTTGGGGATGTCTTGCCGAGTCATTTCATATATATATATATAAGGGTC